ATGAAATGCTGATGGGTCTCTTGTGATACAATAGTGAATAATTGTTATCAGGACTGATTGTGAGGGTTGGAAATGTAAAGGTAGACGTTTTATAGCAAGGAAGGGAGTGATTAACTTTCCAGTCTAGGAGCGGAGATCCCTAGGATCATCAACGGAGAAGAGCGGAGAGTGGGACCCTACCCAGAGAAGCAGTGATGCCTGAGATTGAGGCAGAGATGATGACGTGGAGCGATGGAGCAGCTGGGGACTTTAGATCCAGAGAGGGAGAGCGACTGTGTGCTGAAGATTTGGGGGGGGTGGCATGGGGGGTGAGCAGTAGTATAGGGGGCAGGCTTGCAGGGTATCTATACTCTTTGGTTGGTTGATGATGCATGGAGGGGACTGTAACCATGGCAATGAAATGACATACGATAGAATGAATGTAAAACTAATGTTCTCCCATGTAAACTATCATATAATTCACAATAAGACATTAAAAATAATAATAATAAATGAATAAATAAAAAAGTTTACAGCCTTGGAAACCCTATGGAGCAATTCTACTCTAACCTATATGGTTGCAACCAACTTGATTAACAGTGGGTATGGGTGAGTTTTGGAAGCTGTATTTTCTTCTTGTTTTATTCATTAGGGTAAAAGCTTCTGGTACACACTTCTCCCATTCCATTAATTGTAAGTATCTACATACATCTAGGTTTGTCCCATTTACATTTCCAGACAACCTCTTAGGACAATATAAAGAGATTTCACTCACTCCTTAACAGTTGTCTTTTTCTAGACTAAAAACCATTTAATTAAGTCAGTTCCTACTCAAAGCAACCTTAAAAGACAGAGTAGAATTGTTTCATAAGGTTTCCAAGACTCTAAATCTTTACAGAAGCAGACAGACACATTTTTTCTTCCACAGAGTGGCTAGTGGATTCGAACTACTAACTTTTTGGTTTGCAGCTGAGTACTTAACTACTGTGCCACTGTTGCTGTTGTTAAGTGCCCTCAAGTCAGTTCCAACTCATAGCGACCCTGTGTAGGGTTTCTGAGGAGTGGCTGGTAAGCTTGAACTGCCAACTTGGCAGTTCAAACTGACCTTGTGGTTCAGTGCATTATCCTGTGGCACCACACCAGGATTCCTTGAGCTCCTTTATTCTAAACAAAAGGTAATAATTTAGTCTCATTGGTTACAGCAGTCTTTTTTGTTTAACTGCCTATCTTATCTTTTCCAAAGTGGTGTCTTAAAGATGCAATAGCCAGAATATTAAGGTGTAGATATGGTGTTTTACGATGTTAAAGTAATGCCGTTTAATACATTACATATATGTGTGTGTGTGTGTGTGTGTTTTGTTTTGTTTTCCAGTCAAGTGCATCATCTTGATGGCAAGCATTTTGGGAAAAGTTTTAGCCCCAGTTGAACATCAAACTCTTTAGACGCTGAGTTATATAGAATGCAGGTCCTTTTCCTGTATCAGAATCCTTTATCTTTTAGGTACAGTTTGGCTTATTTCTAGTCCAGTGGGTTTTTACATTTTTTCAGATAGATACTTATTTGCTACTTTGATGCCCACTCACATAATTCACATGATGCTCTTGGTGGTTTGGCATTTCCATACTTGGCAAAGCTTAATGCCATCTGTAAACTTGGAGATTTCACCATCTACTTGCTATAGTCTTAAGATCTTGAAAAAATATTTTGCTTTGTTTTATGGCTTTGGGGTAAGTCTTTATAAAATGATTTGAGGGAAGTCAGAACAGAATTTCTTCTCTATTTACCAATTTACTATCTGAAAGAATTCCCTAATTCTTATTCATGCTTCTCACTTGACTGAAATGATGCCATCTCAATTCTGGGAACTAATGCTGTCTAGGTTTTAGGGAAGTCAGTATCAGGGGGCTTCAAAAAGTTCATGGAAAAATTCCAGTATCTTTTTGAATCTTCTTCATACATACATGCTGATCTTCCCAACTAGACTGCAAATAGGAATGAAGTATTTAATTTTTTTTTCTCTGTCTTTCATAGCACCTCATATAAAGATGTGGCCACCAAGTATCTATAAAACATACCCAAATAAGTAAACAGCATGTAATTCTTCCCTATGAAATTCAGATACACATATGTCATTCAATATTTGAAGACACACATGTATACACGTGGAAGAGAACATATTTTAAATGAGGGAAGAGGAGCCTGGCTCTGTAAAGGCAGATGGTTAAGGAGGGAAACCAAGCTTGGCAGATATGACTCCTGACTACTCAGTTGGCAGGCATGCTTCTCTACTAGTTGGAAATTGTTGTGGTTGTTATTGTTAAGTGCTGTCAATTCAGTTCTGACTCATAGTGACCCTGTATAGGGTTTCTGAGGAGCGACTGGTGAGTTTGAACTGTCTACCTCGCGGTTCAAACCAACTTTGCAGTCCAGTGCATTATCCTGCAGTGCCACAGCAGGACTCTGGCTGGAAATACAGCATATGTAAAAATTACTTAAAACTTCAGCTTTCTTGAATGTAGAGGGGCAAAGCCACTCCATTTTGGACCCTCTTTCCTTAGGAATAAATTGGAAATCATAGTTTCATTCTGCTATCTGGCTTTGTTGTATGTTATTGCATACAGGAATCTTGAAAGAGCATACCTGAATGTGTATTTACATTTGTACTCAGCTGTTCGCATCATTCATTTCACAACTTAACTTTGAGTTCGTTTCAAACCCTTTGTATTCTTTGACTAACATGTCTATGTTATGACTTTTCCTTAATTTGAAATACAGACACACATACACTATTCAAACTCGTTATTTCTAATACAAAAACTATAATTTAAAATTTAAAATATCTAGGATAATACTTTCCTCACCTTATGAGTATAACTTCACCAAAATTTGCAAACTGCTGGAGAAGTTCGTCAATCAAAGCATCATCAAAATAATTATTATCTGATAAAGAACTTTTGATTGAGACCAAGACAGTGCCATCGGGTGGACCCTGAACTGCAATCACTTCTTTATAAATGCTTTGTCTTTCTTCAGCTTCCACTTCAAAAATATCAATATCTATCAGAGCAATGACAGGCCTGAGAACATGAAAAAGGCAGATACATTAGAAAAAATTTAAGAAAGGGTATTATTCTGAACAAATTTCAAGCACCACTAGGAATACTGAATTGGTTAAAACCTATGATCAGAAGTCTTCAGCTCAGCCCTTCCATAGTGCAGCAAAGTGCCAGGAGTCCAGGTGTAGAGGATTTTGCTTTCATCTTGAAAACTAGCATTTAGAAGATCTAAATCCTCAGCTGTAAAACAAAACATGAAAGAAGCCACATGAACACGACAGATTACATGGAGTAAGGAGCTGTTTCTTTCTTTTCACTTGCTGGTTTTCTAACACTAGGATACCTGATACACTTGTTAAACAGGCAGGAAGTCTCCACACCTGTACATTAGAAAAGCTAAGGCTACTTTTGGCAAAGTTACCACTTTATGCTTCAGTTAATAAAAATCAAGAACGTTACTTTAACCTCTGAGATTTATAGACCTTTGGTGAAGATGTATCATAAATAGTTCAATAGACAAGAAGCAGTTCAAAATATCTACCACTTTAATTATCCAAATTAAAGACCTTAACTAGCATTTGACTGAAAACTTCCAAAAAAAAGTTTCTATGCTTCTAATACTAAATTATATTACTGAAAAGAAAGTGGACTGAAAATGAATGCAATTCTTAAAAACAAGTCTGAGAAAAATTTAAACTTATTGGTCTTACATTTAGATTTTATTTATTCTATTCTAGATAACATTTGTTGGGGGATTTAAAAAAAACAGCTCTTCGGTTCTTATTTAACATTTACATCATTCCCTCTTCCTTGTAAAATCTGCACATATCCATTTAAATGAAGAAGTCTATTTCGTTTCCTAACCTGATCTATCAAAAGGCCACTTTCTTCTTCTCCAGAGGACACGGTCTGTCCACGCTGGGGTGCGGCACTTTTCACTGGTATCATAGTCATCAGAAAACAAGTCATACTTATATGTAGGAGCAAAAGTTACTTTTCCCTCTAAAAATCCTCTAAAAATCTAAGAGGAACAAAAACACAGTAAGTTATTCTAAAAGGTAAAACATGGAAAGTTCTGTTTTCATTCAGATAGGCATTCAGGAAAGTCTACTAAATGCTGGATTATCTCATAATGAAATTCATATGCATCTGATGAACACTTCCAAATAAATGGAGCAAAGCTCAAGAAAAATAGCCTAAGATGTGGCCATTTTTACACCACTAGCTTGGCCTTCAATTAAATAAAACTATAAAAACATGAATAAGAGAATTTTGCCAAACTTATGAGCTATACAAGAGATTTTAAATGGTCTGAGCTTTTGGAAATCAACTACCATGATGGTTCATTCTTAGCTGAAGGTTTTAAAAAAGGTAAGTTAAAAGCGCTCATAAGACAGCATCCAAAGGTTAGAATGCTAGCCTCATGACCACCAGGTATCCAAGCAAGTGGCCTCCCATCACCTCACTTAAAAAAAAGAAATCTTCCAAAATTTTGGGGTCGTAAGTTTTAAGAAATGTTCCAAAAAGGCAAATGACATGAGAAACAAGAGAAACAAATAAACCAAATAAAGATCTTAAAAGTTAAAAAAACAACAACAAAGCACTAGCCTTGAAGGTAACTCTAAACTATTACTGGGGTAAAAATATCCTTATTATTTGAGAGTAAATTTTATAGAGATATAATGTATTTTGCTTCCTGGGAATTATGGGTTTTCTTTCTTTTTCCCTAAGGAGAAGCTATTTTCATCTGTTTAACTACATATACACACACACGCACACAGCGACCTGTTAACAGGGTTTCAGAGGCTATAAATCTTTTCAGAAGCAAAAAGTCTCATCTTCCACGGAGTAGCTGGTAGAGTCGAACTGCCAATCTTGCAGTTCAGGCAGTTGCTCTATAGGATAAACACGGACTGTGAACCACAGGTTGGCGATTAAAGCCCAACAGTCGCTCCCTGAAAGAAAGATGAGGCTTTCTGCTCCCAAAAAGATTTACAGTCCTGGAAACCATATACTGGCACTTAACAAGAGTACATAATATACGAAATATATGAAGTATTTATTAAGAGTAAAGAGACTTTGAGATTAAACACACAGAGATACACCATGATTAAGGAAAGTATGTTTCATTACCCCAAATCCCCAAAGATATAAACAGTTCTACTCTTCTTAATTTAAGTACACGTATACCTGTCCAGTATTTTTCTGATTGATTAGCTGATCTCCTGCTATAAGAGAATCCCAATTTTGCTGTCTTATCAGCTCTTTAACTTCTTCATTAGGGAGATCAATTCGATAGTTGAAATCACCACACCAGAAAACATAATCATGGGAAAACAGCATCCTTCCCTGAAAGCAATGAGATGGAATTTAAAATTCAAAAGAATCAATTTTTCAAAATGTTTTACAAATATTTATTTGCCTCAGATATGCTTCCTTTTCTCCTATACTCCATTTTCTGACCCAACAGTAACATCAGACATGAAGTATCTATTTGGGTGAATATTAATGATGTTTCTAGGAACTACCTAAAAATTTCAGAAACATTGATAAGGAATTTGGGTAAATTAAAATAGATTTAAAAGTTTTATATTTAAGAACAAGCAGCAAGAGCTCACCATGGGAAAACTCAATTTTCGTGCTATTTCTACAAAATCTTCATTTCTTTCTTTGACTTGTGATTGCCCAGCAGCAAAATGGCTACAGACGAAGCAGAGGCTTGTTGTGTGGAATAGCATCCGGATGGCAACTGCTCCCTTATTCCCAGTGGCACCTCCCATCCCAGTCTTCACAGTATCCACTGCAACATCCCTGTAAAACAAAGAATCCTAAATCAAAGATCTGCAATGTCAACAGTTCACATCCACAAAAAACTAGGAAGACACATACATAATCAGATAGCTACACATCCTATGGTGTTTTGAGAACAATGCTGTGAATTAGCACAATGCAGTTATAAATGACTCTTTAATTATAATTTAAAGCAAGAACTATGAATAAGTGTTTTTCTCTAAAGCAGCAAATATTCTAGGCCTTTTTCTTTTTTTCTTTCCTCCTAAGAGAGTGTTCCATTTACTAACCTGATAAAAGGCGCATGCTGTGGTCTGATAAAAACAAAGAGGCAGACGCCCACCAATTGCTCAGAAGCCAGCAGCACATACTTGTTGTCTCTGGAGATTGTCTTCTGAAGTTCCACCGCCCAGAGCTTCTGATTAGTTGTGCTACCAGAAAAAATTACAAAGGCAATCTTTTAAAAACTACTGATGACAGCCTATTTCATAATTTCCAATTATACCTTCGTATGTCCTAGTTTCATAAGTCAACTGATAGTCATGGAAGCCACACCCACAGTGAAATATGTATGGAGGCTATTGTTGTGTTTTGTTTCCTTTAAAAAGGAAAACCCACAACAGTCAAAATAAATCTTTAAAATCTAAGACCCCTTGATAATAAAAACATGAGCTTACTTATTTTTCTGAATTACAACCAATGTCTTAAAAAAAAAAACAGCTTATTAAAGTAAACCACCATAAATTCATCATCCAGCATCAACAATTATCAACACGTTGCCAGTCTTTCCTGCCCCTCTCCATCCTCACTTCCTTTTTTAAAAATTTCTTATAAATCAGGAATATTTTAAACCAAAGCTAAGGTAAGGCACATGTCACCTTACCGATACACAAGTCGGTATATCTCTAGGAGTCCTGGGGCAACATTATATGGTAAGTACTGAACTGCTAACCAAAAAGTCAGTGGTTCACACCTGACAGCCGCTCCTCAGCAATCCTATACAGGGTCCAATGGGTTAGAACCAACTTGACTGCACTTAACAACATACAGCTCTAACACAATAGACATTTTAAGTTTTGCATAAACACAAAGTCATTACCATACTTTAATTAGCTTAGTATCATCTAATACTCACACTCAGGTCATACTAAAAATCTCCCTATTATTTCTTCTTACAGTTAAGTTTCTTTAAAGCAGGGTTCAAACAAGGCCCACATAGCATATCTATTACATCTCTCAAATTTATTTTAATACGTAATTGTCTCCCTTTTAAACGCCTTAAAAATTTTTTAAGAAAGTTCAACAGTCTCAATAGTCTGGATTTGGCTGATAGTGTCTTTAGAGTATCGTTAGCAGTCCCTTAACCTTCATACTTTCTATAAACTGGCAGCTTCCTGTAGAGCTCTGATAAAGAAACAAAAATTTTTTGAGGGTTGGGGACAAAAATGCCTCATGAGTTGTTGTTGTTGTTAAGTGACGTCAAGTTGGTTCTGACCCATGACGACCAAGGAGCTGCTGGTGTGAACAGCCAACCTTGCAGTTCAAACCAACCCTGTGGTCAAGTGCTTATCCGACAGCACCACACAAGGCTCCACCTCATGAGTAATGGTGTATTTACTATTGCATCCCAACATGGGGCACATAATCTGTGACACTCAGGTGGTAGCAGTCTGATCCACACTGTAATAAATTTACCTATTAACCTTCTGTCTCAGGTTTTAGCATTTATACATCCAAGCCCTACTTGTCAGTCTGTGCTGCCATCCACTTAGAGAATAACAATGCACTCTCACTTAAGAATTCCCTTGATGAAGCAGTTAACATTGTTATTATTGTCAAATCTTAACCCCTAAGTCATATATTTTTAAAAATTGTTTGATGATTTTGGAATCTGCACACTCTGCAGCATACAGAGCACCTGGGGTGTCTCAACGTAAAGCACTTGAGACTGAGGTGTGAGCTGCACTGCCATTTGTTTCATGGGAGATAATGTTACTTGAAAGAACTAATAACCAAAAAAACCACAGTTATTCAGACTTGGATATTTGGCAAAGATTTTCTCAACCAAGGCTGTCCCTTCAAGGAAAACAAGTGTAGTGTATTTGCAATCATAAAAATTGAGTTTTCAAGCACAAATTGGAACTGTGGAAAGTATGTATCTGCTACTGTAATCTCGATAGCGTCTCAAAATTTAAAGGGATTTTCTGATGAGACAGGTGATTCTGCTAATTAACACATGTGGAATTTCTATGTAACTCAGTGAACCGATATTTTTCAAGTCACCAATACATGATGTCACAAAACTCACACAAGAGTAAAAGATAGACTAATGAATAAGAGTACCAAAAATTCACTGGTATTTCCAGATTCCAGTCACAAACAGTTAATCTTTGTGATTTTCTTCATATACCTCAACTAAAACAACATGTCGAATAGAATGAAGCAAAAGTACAAGTGAGAATTCAGTTGTCTAACAGAGAATGCAAAACTACAAGACAACGTCACCCTTCTCACTCTCTTTTTCTGTTGTAGAAATAGTTATTCTCCCAAAAAATGCTATTTGTGCTATGGAATGGGTTTATTATTTTTAAATGTCTTTAAAATGTCTGTTTTAAGTTCTAGCATGTTAAATATTGAGATTGTTGTTGTTAAGTGCCATCGAGTCAGTTTCGGCGCACAGCGACCCTCTATAGGGTTTCTGAGGAAATACTGAAAGATATAATCACATTAAAAAACAAACTTTGATGAGATTAAAGAGTGTACAGGGGTCCTGAGATCAAAAAGTTGAGAACTGCTGTTTTACAGTTTACAAGGCACCTTCACATACACAAATATTTTCTCAATCTATATTTCTAACTATTTCGTTATATGCCCTCCATTCCCCAACTACACATTTTCCCTGTGTTACATCTGGTTGGCTTACCTTGCATTCACAATGTTTCCAGCATTCAACTCTACCATTTCTTCAAAACCAATTGCAAATATATCAGTTGGCTTACTTCTTTTATCTACAATTAATGTCCAATAAAGACTTTTAAAATACAGATTTAGTCAAATGGCAACATAACAAAGATCAATATCAGACCCCATAAAATTCCACCTAAGTTCCATTTAACAATCCATTTAAGTTTAACCAAATTCACATTAAAAACAAAAACCTGTAAGTGGGATAAAATTACTTTAAATTTCTATTCAGATGTCCTATACTTGCTACTTGAAGACTATTAAATCCTATCAGAAATCATTCTGCAAGAACTTTTATTCTTTGTACCAAGGTGAGCTGGGAAATAAGCCACTTCTCAAAGACTGAGTGAATCAAAATTGGAAAATGAAGTGGTTAAAAAAAACACCTCAAATTAGAGAAAGAAAATGGAAAGGATTTTTCAAATTCATATTTGAAACCAGAAGAATAGATCCAAGGGTTAAAACCTATCACTCTGTTCCACCTGTGAGCTCTGTCATAGCTGACAGGAGGAGTTGCTTGATGAGATAAGCAGCAAAAGGCACCCTGAATGTTCAGAAATGAGGACAAATTGCAAGAAAGAAGAAATAATAGTATGAACTAATATTGACAAACAAAACAGTACAACTATTTATTGACTGCTATTATGTGCAAGGCTCATCATGCATGCATCATGTAGTTAGTTTAATTACTAAACACCTTATGAGACATGATTTTTGCCTTTATTTTACAGACAGGAAACAAAGGCTTCAGAAAAGCTAAGCCACCTGTCCAAGTTCACAAATATGATACAATGTAACATATGATAAAGACTCTACAGCCAAACTGTTTTGAGTTCAAATCTTGGCTTTGCCACTATACGCATGACCTTGGGCAGGTTAACTTCCCTTTCTATGTCTCAGTGTCTCATGTGAGTATTTATGTAATAGGGCAGTTTTAAGAATTAAATGAACACATGTAAACTATTTAAAACTGTAGTATTATGTACTATTTTCTTATTATTATTACCATAACTACAACTTCGAATCACAATAAAGTGAGAGGAGATATTTTAACAAAAGTTTGGGGATATGCTCAGGATTTAAGATGTGGTTGATTAAATATAACTAAAAAAGGAAAATGTGTGTCTCAAACTACTTCTTATCATCACCCTTGTAATGGTATTTGGTAATTGCATGCTATTTTAAAAAGGAATTAGAGTTAACAAAAGAAGACTTCTAATTCGTGGTTTTAATAAAAATCTTAATCGAAGTATTTTTCATTTACTATCTGGTTCTGGTTATTAATAACGTGGTAGCAGAGTACCCAAATTGAATGATAGCCAAATCTTTAAAAGGATAAGCCAGGACGGTTAAAAAGTTCCAACAAATACCTCAACACATTTTTTAACACCACTAACAATCCACTCTGATAATTTCTTATCTTATTAGGTAACTATATGGAGGATTTTAAAAACAGGGCACATAGGTTTTGAAAATGAAACACAAATGATCAATTACAAAATAAGCTTGGTTTGTATCAACTCAAGGCATCCAGGTGGTACCGTGGTTAAGCGCTTGGATGCTAAGCAAACATTTGGAGATTCCAATTCACCAGCTTTCTGTGGGAGACAGATGTGGCAGTTAGCTTCCACAAGGATTTACAGCCTTGGAAATTCTATGGGGCAGTTCCATTCTGTCCTATATGGTTGTTACAAGTCAGAACTGACTTGAAGATAATGGGCATGGTTTATTTGTATGTGTCAATTTAAACTAATACAAACACAAGTATTCCCCTCCCCAACAAATGAAATGTGTGATGCTTTCAAAGTAACCTATTTTTGTATGGATCCATTTCCTAAGAACCAAATATTAAGAAAAAAATGTTTTATTTTAACATTATGCTTTCATGAAGTAGAAAATAAGGTCTTAACAACAACAACAAAAAATAGAGGCAAGATTTTACCAGAATTGATCTATAAAAATGTTGAGCTTCAATTTTATAAATCTGTTTCTTTTGTAAATTAAAACACATTATGGAATGCTACACCGGTTTTCTAACTCAATAAACTATAGTCTGAGTTGACTAATAATTACACATCCGTATTACAAAATGCAAACCTTGAAATTCCTGGATGCCAGCTAACTTGGGTGCATCCAGAAGCCAGTCAGTGAGTGTCTGATTCTTAAAAGCTATACTGCGAAACTGCTTCCCACCGTTCACATTCCAGGTCCCAACACATACTCGAATTTTTTTGGGCTTTGAATACTTGTAGAAATTCTCACACATGTTCTTTAGTACTTTAGATGATGCTATTCAAAAATAAAACACAACAAAATTTTAGCTGCATTAAACCACTAGGGAAAATGGATTTTTTTAAACTGTGAAACAATGCCTGGAAGATACAATCATCATCATACACACAAAACAAGCATTAAGATACATGCGCGCGCACACACAAAGTAAAGATTCACCCTGAATGCAAAGCCCAGCATGATGCAATTTACCAACACAATTAAAGATAATCAATCACATTAAACACAATAGGCAAAGTAAAAAAAGCTATTACAAAATTATTGAAGCAACATAAAACATGCAGAATAATTGTTTCAAGGACATGGTACGTTATCTTACAATGCATAAAACTTAAAAATTGTACATTTCTTGAAATACAGCAATTGACTTTCATACAATGTTCATTAGGAGACTGGTAAAAAAATTTAATTTTTATTGATCTCAAACAAAGACATTTCCATTTACAAATTAAGCTACTGGCCAAGAGGTTTGAGGACTAATGGCTCCCTGACAAAAATACAAATTATGGAAGTTAATTAAATGTCTGAAAACAAAGTCACTACTAAGTGTTTCCCATCTTGTTCAGAGTAGAAGCCAAAGTCCTTAGCAACGGACCTGTACAAGTTGTGTGTCTTTTGCCTTTATCAAATACTACCCTTCCCTGCAATCTCAGAAAGATGCCTAGCATTTTCCCACCACAGGGACTTTGCACTGGCTGTTACCACAGCTTTAACACTCTTCTCTTACTTTCTTCAGGACTTGACTTTCCAGTGGCACATACCCTGGCCACCTTATTTTAAAATGTACGCTGTCCCTAGCCTCCTATATTCGGTTTGCTCTAATTTTCTCTATAGCACTCACCACCATTTATTGATTTATCTTTTAACGCTCTTATCACAAGAATGGAAACTCACAAGAATGGAAACTCCATGAGGGCAAAAACATTTTGCTTATTACAATATCCTTAGTGAATAAAAGAGTGCCTAGCATGCAGTAAGTGCTCAATAATAATCACTAAATGAATGAATGTTCAATACATTTTGAATCTTCAATCTCTCTCTTGCATAGTCTTAACTATCATCTTTCTCTTCTACACTACACTTCATTTGGTTAAGTCAAATTCATGGTACTCAAAGTGGATAGAATTTTAACAGGATCTCAATTTAATAACAGAAATTTGCATTTAACTGGTAGTTAACTGGGCAAAGACAAAGGAGAGCAAAAAAAATTTTCACCTTTCACCTACATGATCTTATTATGATTTTATTTATTGTTTTATGACACCAAGGTCTAATGTAGATGAAATAATCCCTTTCACTTACCAGGAAGACAATTCTTGTAGGATAAGCAAATATGTGCACATGCAGTAACTGATATACTATAAAAAGCTGTTCATAGATTTGTCTTAAACAAAAGTACCATATCAATCTGCCTCTACTTCTGTTTCCTTATTTAGACAAGGTGATAAATTGCTGGCTGAAAATTTGAAACTTGTACCTGAAAATTTGAACCCTGATTTGTGAAGATACAGCTATGTCATTGCTGAAAAGTCTAACTCTCTGTAAAATCGTATACTACTGCAAATACTGCTTACAGGAAAACAGGGTTGGGTATACCATTAAAAACCTGTGGCACTTTGTAAGCAGGGCATTAAACATTAAGCAACAACAATCCTAATAAAGCAACAAGCTTGACTATCCATTATCATTTGCACCTGAATTCAGTCAGTCCTTTGGAAACGTAGGTTCTTGAATACGTTAAGATTCAATATAAACAAGGTTCCCCAAAATAAAAAGTACAATCCAGTGGTAGCCTTCACCAATTATTGCTTTTATGCACAAGATAAGTACACAAACAATTTTCAGTTTCTTCATCTACACTTGTACTTCCCCAGAGAACTAAACACAGTGGGAATGATAGTGGGGATGGAAATCATTCCTTGCACTAAGGAAGACTTTTCTGAAGTATTTCTGCTTTTTAGAAATACTAAAGTTTCCTTTTCTTTAATTGTGTGGAAGTCCCATGACAGTTCACAGCATTAACATGCAGGGAAAAACCTAAACAAACCAGCACAACTTCGGCATTATACTCACATCACCCTCCTGTTTATTAATGTGTGTGAACTCATTTATATTAAAGAAATCTGTGTTTCTTTAATAGACCATAAATAAAATTTTCAGTCATGCTATTTTCCCCTAATTTCAACCAGTATTTTCAGCCAAATGTGAATAAAATTCACAGAAACTATAAAGGATATTCCCAATGTAGAAAAGGTGAATGGCAAGTTCTTCTTGAAAATGCCATGAAATTGCCTTACCCGATAGTTAGAATTTACTCCTAGAGTCCTGGTGTCGCACTATAGGATAAGCACCAGGCTAATAACTGCAAGGTCAGCAATTCAACCACCAGCCACTCCTTGGCAGCCCTATACAGAGTGGCTAGGAGTCAGAACCGACATGATGGCACTTAACAACAAGGCAATGTTTCAGAGCACGATTCCCTTCTCCATCTCAACACCACCACGTAGGACACAGTCCTATAGTGCTGCTGCCAGATACCTCCTGCACTTTTGGGAGTGGTCCAACCTCATTAAAAGCAGATCTGTTTCCTGAAGCACTTTCAAGAGGTTCAACATGGTCAAAACTATTTTCATTACAATATGCAAACTATGACGTTATTGCCTACTTCAAGGAATGCCTGAGTGGCACTGATCTACTAACCAACAGGTTGGTGGTACAAACCCAACTAGAGGTGCCTTGAAAGACAGGACTGGGTATCTGTTTCTGAATGGTCACAGTTTTGAAAACCCTATGAATCACTTCTACTCTGTACACAGAGTCTCCAAGAGCCAAAATCGACTCAATGGCAACTAGTTTGGTTTGGTTTACTTATCTACTTCACTCCCATTCTCTCTTAAGAACTACTTGAGAAATCACCAGAATTCTATACCTGGAGTCCTGGTATGGTGCTGCTGGATAAAGCACAAGGTCAGCAGTTCAAACCCACCAGCTGCTCCTTGGAAGCCCTCTACAAGGTCCCTATGAGCCCTTACCAAGACAAACACACTTAACAACAACAACATACTAGGCACATGAGTCTAGAAAACAGCTTTCCGTGCTTCTGGAACTAACACTGTAATGCGGTAGAGACAAGGAATTTGGATCAGAAAACGAATGCCACCATTTGAATGGAGAGACCGATAGTAAATTGCTTAATATCTGTTGATTTGCTCATTAGCCAATAGGCATGACATCTGCCTAACTCATAGGCTTATTCTGAGCCTTGATAAAAAGATGTGTAACAAAGTGATTTGAGAACCATAAGCGTGAAATGTCAGATTCACTGTTGTTTCTACATGCACTCTGCTGTGCCCACTACCCTGTCAATCCCCCTCCAACCTCAGCATTGCCTACACCTTTCCATAGTTTTTCACTCTGGACAACTTATTCACTCCTCCTGATCACACCTTTCAAATCAATTCTCCATATCAATGAGGCTTTCCCTTCACTTACTAGCCCTGACAGTTTACCAAGTCTGTGAGTCTTTCTATTCCCTTCTTGCCTCAGATACCTTTTTACCATGACCTCAGCCAAGTCCATCTTCACTGCATTGCTCATTTGCCTACAGAAAGGTACAGGGGAAGGTGCAGAAGTACATTTCCATCACCATTTATTCTATCCAATTCTAACCTGGCCTCCGCCATCTAGCAATGTTTATTTGTTACTGAAACACTACTTACTGTATTTATCACACCAACAGTAAAACATCTCAAGTCTCTAACCTTCTGCTCAACAATCACCTTGAATTACATCTCATAATATCATCCATTTTTCTAACAATTTGCTTCTCATTTCTCTCTAGTCTCAAAGGAAATGGTTCCCTCCTTTCCAAATAACACAATTCCCTTTCCCAACCAGGCTTTCACCTTCATAACTATCCTATCCTTTTCCATACCCTTCAATCTCTCTCCTTAGCATAAATATTTTTCATTTCAGCTTCAATGATTTGCTGCTATTTCTGATCTTAAAAGAAACACAATGAAAAATTGGTCTTTACAGATAAGCAGGCTGAATGGGGATAGAAGGAAGGGTGGGGTACACCCACAAATACATAAAGGTCTGAAAGAGGATATTTATATATGGGATTTATCTTTGCTGCAGACACAACTATGAATATGGTGGAGCATACAGCAAGCAAATGATGAAAACTTCTTAGATACTATCAATTATCTTAAGGCAAGGAGCTGCCAGAAGACCTAGAGGTTCAGGAGCAGTCTTTAAGGACACCGTGGTAAATTGTCATGACATAGATAATGTTCTACATCCTACTTTGGTGAGTAGTGTTGTTATGCCCAGAATTCAGGGTCCCCAAAGACCACCCAGGAGCCGTGTACCAATGCAAATACATAAGGGTTGTTTAATCAAGCCAGGTCTCTAACCTTATCCGACATTTCAGAATAGGGAAAGAGCCCCGAATTCATTGTCTGCAGGGTTTTTATAGAATTTTCAAACAGCTCAGGTTTCTCAGCTTTACAATCTTTGGATTGGTTAACAATTGGCAAACTATGAGATGTTACAGTTTAATTGGTCAGGACTAGTGGTCTTTGTTCTTAGGCTAGGGTAAAGGAAAACATCTGGCCTCTGGCCTTGAGCTGCCTGGCTATTTATACATATATCATATTCTTGGAGCTAGAGTACGTGTTCAGGCTAATGTACAGAATGGAGATTGACCTTGCCTCTGGAGGGAACTAATAACTGAGGCCTTGTCTCTTTAAAATGCTTTCCTGAGCCTGACTAGAGTTTAGTCAAGCAGTTTATAGGTAGGCAAAATCAGGTAAAATCAGTTTGGTCCTTACAGTGTCTGGGATCTTAAAAGCTCATAGCAGTCTTCTAAGGTTCAACTATTGGTCCCTCCATGTGCAGAAGAAAGAGTCATGAGAAATGAAGGTACTTGGAATCAATTAGTCTAACAAACTAATGGGATACATGAAAGTCAGTCTCCACAGTTCTGTGACCAGAAGAACTAGATGGTGCCTGTCTACCATTACCAGCTGCTCAGAAAAGGATCACATAAAAAGGTCCCAGATAAAGTGGGTGAAAATGTAGAACAAAACTCAAAATTATAAAAAACTACTGTTCAGAAAGACACTGGAGGAACGTAAGACTTTGACCTTTAACTACCTTCATGTCTGGAAATGAACTCACCCTTGTGGTCCAATTTTCAGTCAAGAAATAGATAGGTACATGGGGGTAAGGGGTGGGGTGTGGGGGAACACAATAATCCTAGTAAAGTAAGCTCACAATAGAGCCACATTTACCTAATGAAAACGTTGAGAAGGTGGGTGGAATGTAAATAGGAACCACAGGGAGGAAATGGGACAACTGTTGCTATTTTTAAATGAATTAATAGTTTTTAAATGCCCACTAGGCATTTAAAATCACCACTGGTAGACTGGAGTTGACTGGGGATTGCAACCACTGAGCTGAAACAAAGTGTATGATGTGCTTCATGTAAAACTGATGATCTACTCTGTAAACCTTCACTCAATTCACAGTAAAAAGTAGAAAACAAAACAAAAATATAGGACATTAAGGAGTAAGTTTAACAAAAAAATGTTTTGCAATAGTTATGAAAAAAAGAAAAATTACTTTAAAATCTTATTAAGTGCTATGGAATCTTTCTTCTTTTATTTCTGTAGCAAACTCTAGGTCCAGTTTCCTCTCTTGTATTCTCATCTTAGCCAGTCCCCTGCACTTTCACTAGACCCTCACAAGAATTCTGGGATGTGCATACAACAATCATTCCCATTTTACAAATAAGAGCACTTTAGTCCAAAGAAGTTAAATGACTTGGTCACAATTGTATAGCTAAGTAGTGCCAGAGCCAAGATAAAATACTTCTGTTCTTTTTCTTATTCTGAAATAATTCTGGCTGGTCAATTAAGTAATTTGAGACTGGAAGAAATAGAAATAATAAGTGCTGGGATATTTGGCATAGATGATCTAGAACAGTAGTTCTCAAACCTTTTGGTTTTAGGAAGCCATCATACTCTTAATTAACTGAGGACTGCACAAAGCTTTTGCCTGTGTGGATTATATCCAGTGTATGCTGTAAATGTTTCACAGCTAGCTGGCTCTCCAGGGAGAAAAAGAATACTGGTTTGTAGCATCTACCTCTTTCTGTAGAATGAATGCTACCACAAAGGTCAACTTCAAGCTACCAATGTGATGTCATTGAACGTGATTAAAAGATGCACATAACCAACTGTCAAAAGTCAGTCAACTCTAGTTCACCACTGGTGATTTTAGGGGCATTTAAAAATAACAGATAACACATCACCTACTTATATAAATAAATACATTATTTATTTTAAAAAAAACAAACTATACCTTCCAAAAGAAAAAGAAAAATTCTAAGAAAAGTGGCACTTTTCTTGAAGCTAAATTTTCACATTTGCTTCTGGAGCCAAACCCGTTTGCTATCACAGGTCATGCAGCTTCTGGAAAATGTCACTGTATGCTTGTGGGAGAATGAGAGTGCAAAGGCATATAACATCTTAGTGTCATTATCAAAATAATCCTGACCTGTTGACCTTTGAAAGAACTGACTTAGATGAGACACATATTTCTACTGTTACCTGGGCAGACATGAAGATTTTTTATCTTCTTGCTATTTGATCTGGGTACTGGTACAGAGGTATAAGGTTTAAAAAAAAGCTAATACAGAATCTTCTTTCTAATTAAAGTCATTGCCAATGCTACTGCTGCAAAAACCAGCTTTTTCAATCTTTCTATATCAAAGCACAAATCTATAGTGACAACAGCTTAAAAAATCCAGCCAGACAAATAACAAATTGTGTGAACAAAATCATATTGCCATATTGTATGAAGCCAGTTTTTAAGTAGAATAAAAAGATTTTTTAAAAAGATGATTTCTAGCTTCTTAATTGCTTGGTATCTAAATATGAGGAAAGAAATAACAAGCCTATGTTCAGACAACAGATGTCTATCCCTAAATACCATGTGTCACTCCAAAAAATGGATTGCAATACATAGCTAAAAAATGACGACGCTTCCTTCCTCCATCCTTCTTTAAAAAAACCCCAGTAGTTTCTCAAAACATTCAGAACAATAACTAACCCAAACAAATCTTAAGTGATAGCAAGATAGAGAAAGAAAACATGTCATTTTCAGCTAATTTCTTGCAAGAGTTCTAGCTTTTTGTTCCTTTTGTCACAAATTCATGTTTAAAGACAAGACCATATAAAAAATAATGACTTTCAAGTCTCATAACATTAATTCTTCTAAGTTTATTAGCAATCTTAGTGCTTTTTTAAAAAAACTTCAGATCGCAAGTCTATATTTAAAGTAAATATTTAATCACAATATGAGAAAAGGAAACAGTGTCTTCTCAATTGTTATATGTGAAGAACACTGTTGAGTAGTCACAAATATTATAAAACGTATACTGAAAGTAATCCAAAATAGTCATATCTGGGTTTTATCCATTAAACTATTAAGAGTAAGCATAACAATGTTCATTCTGTAAAATATAAATATGAAATTAAAAACTAGGTGAGTTATTTTTAATTGAAATTAAGCATTAGCTACAGAAAGTATTACATACTTTCTTCTAAACAAAAGGGAGGGCTTGATTTTTTTCTCAGACTGAAACAAGATTATCAATTTATCCTGTACAAAATAAGAAAGCGTCCATTTAATGGATGTTATTTATTTACAATACCAACTTTAGAAAAATAAAAAGTTGCTTTCATTTTAGATTGATATTCTATACTGTACCTGACTGTAATGTCTGTTCAGAAACTATGGATGCATCAAGAAAAAAACAAAAAAATCATTAGTAAAACAACAAGGTAAGTTACAATCTAGCGTGTTATAACAAAACATTCTAAAATAGCCTCACTAATTTCTTTAAAGTCAATTTGATTACTTAACTTTTTTCTGATGGCTATAATACACAAAAAATTAAAAACACATGGCTGGCATAAATCAAACAAATCCTGAAGTGACTCAGTTACGCTTACCAATTCTGATGGCTCTACCTCCAGTTTCACAAAATGTGACTTCTAAGCTTGCTTTTCAGGCTGCTCCACTGTGTGTGAGTATGGGCGTGCACATGTGCCTGGGAGCACACATGTTCACATGCATGCACACTCACGTATGCACATATTATGTGTAAGTGGGAGTGAATATGAGTAATGGAAAACCTAAGAGGCTGGAAGATATGGAAGATTTTACTCTAATGCGTAATTTTTGGGATTTTTTTCTGGGACTCATGAGCTGATAAGTACAATCAGTTATACTGTAACAAGACATGTGTATGTCAAAAATCACTGCACCATGCAAACGTCTGTAAAGTCCCAAACAGCTACAGGACTTACGGGAAAAAATGGAGTTGGAGCACAGCACTAAAATAATTTACAGTGACCATAAAATACAGAAACTTAATAGTAAAACTATACATATTAAGTGTTAAGAAATGTATGAATATATACTTAGCAACACTTTGTCTTGAGGTGGCGTGGTGCTTAAGCACTTGGCTGCTAGTCAAAAGTTGGCAGTTTAAACTCATCAGTCATTTGACAGGAGAAAAGATACGCAGTCTGCTTCCCAAAAGATCACAGTCTTGAAAACCATAAAGGGCATTTTACTCTATCCTACAGTCCTGGTGTGCTGCACTGGACTGCTAACCACAGGGTTGGCAGTTGAAACCCACCAGCCACTCCTTGGAAACCCTATATAGGGTCACTATGGTTGGAACCAACTCACTTAACAACAACACTGAATCACTATGAATGAGAATCAACTCGATGGCAACCGGTTTAACTTCTGTAACTCAAGGTAAGCACAGGTGATACAAAACAGATTAGTCAAGTCTCTACTGTTGGAAGCCAGGCAAAAAGCCTGAAGTTGAAAGCAGTAGCTAAGATCAGATTTTTTTTTTTTAAAAAGTGTTTTAGTAGGCTTCAGTTTCCTAGCTAGCTTACACAGCCCTGAGGGACTAACTATAATTACCTCCATGCAGAGCACCCTGAGGAATTCAGAAAGAATCTATGACAACCATTTAGCCAAGAGATTACCCTGTAGTCATTAACTGATACAATTTTCTCCTACTTGAAAAGGAAAATAAAAAACTTTAGTTTTGACACTTCTAAACAGAAGGAAAAAAGTTCAGAGGCTGAAAAGTTAAAAGGAAAAAAGGTATTAAGGACATCTAATTTATCAAGTACTATACCGAGTTTTCCTCTAATACATGCACTCAATGACATGAGCTCAAATTCTTCCAATTTTAATCAAAAAACACAAAGTGAAGGATCAAAACCTATCCTGGGCGTCATACATGCCAAGAAGTAAAATTGAAAATAACAATTAGTGTCCATTAATAAGTGATATTTTAAATTATTAATATGATACAATGGTTTTCACAATTTTTAAAAAAGCATCATAGTAACTTTTGGGTGGTTATTTTAAAAAATCAATATAGGTATTGTTTCTTCAATAAAGCACTAACTTTCTAATTATTGGATACTCTTTTTTAAAAGTACTAGCTGAATATTTTATAAATTCCTGCCTTGTGTAAAGTTAGCATTACTTAAAACCACTTCCCTTCTCAATCATAATCTATTAAAAAAAAAATTCCTAGGCTTCAGCTTATAGCTTAATATAATATCAGTGATGATATAAACATTTTAAGAGACAAACTTCCACTGAAGAAACCTTTTTTTTTAATACCTTTATAGAAATTCCTTTCCAAAAGTATTTGAATCAACTCTTAAAAACCTAAAAATTATTTATGTAAAAAAATTTACATTTATCTCTTGAACTTTAGCAAAGAATATAAATAACACAAATTAACTAAAACCTAAAGTAAATACACATACCACGCAAACTTCCAGTAGTTAAGAGTGCTCGAGCTTTGTCAGCTAAATCACTATTTAGAGTATTTCCCAGCAGCAAAATATCAATGGCCTCTTGCTTGGAACTGTCGAAGAAGTTGTTCTGAATGGTTCTGGTAACAGAACGAGCACCATCTTTTAACTTTCCAGCCTGTTGGGGAGAGAAAGGAATAGCACTCTCATTCTCAATATTGGTGACTTTATTTAATAGGTATTTTAAACTTTAAATCAGTTTTATATGCTTTTATTGTCACAAAGAGGACTTAATCATTCTATTTTGAATATGTAAGCATCACATTAAAATTGCTCAAGATGCCATTGTTTCTTTTCCTCTGCACAGAGAGATAAAAAAAAATATCAGCTCAGTGTCACAACTACATCCAGTAATGGTATCTATAGCAGTAAATGAGTAAATAGCTTATTATAAATAAACTCAAGTGGACTTATTTAAAACAAAGACAATTATCTCTTATCATTAAGGCTTATGGATGGGGTGGGAGGAGAGACAGAGAAAAGATAAAGGAGGACACAATGAATTTACATGCTGTTAGAAAAACTTCTTGTAACTTTAATAATAGAAAACTATCAGGGTTGCTATGAGTCAGAAAGGACTAAGCACACAACAACAACAACATCCGATTGAGTGGTATCAAACAACTCATTATTAGCAAAAACTAAACCTGAACATAGTAACAAAGGTCTTATGTCCTAGCATGGCGCTGCAGGTTAATGCACTGGACTGCAAGGTCGGTTTGAAATGCAAGGTCAGCAGTTCAAATTCACCAGTCTCTCCTCAGGAGAAAGATGAGGCTTTCTACTCCTTATGTCAATTCTTATAGTGAGAGACTGAACTATAATTTTTAATGAACATATATTTTACTAGGACATGTTAGTTACTATAAAGATAATTTATTTTGATCTTACAGATTCTGATACTTTTTAATTGCCTTTTAGAAAATAACTTTACAATGTATAATCCTTAATTCTTAAAGAAGTAACAGTCATTAGAATAAAATGAAGCTCTGGTGGCACAGTGGTTAAAGCACTTGACTGCCAACCTTTAAAAGGGTGGCTGTTTGAACCCACCAGTGGTTCCATAAAAATTTACAGCCTTGGGAACTCTATGGGCAGTTGTACTTAGTATTATAAGATCTCTGTGAGTAGAAATCCACTCAATAGAAATGGGTTTGGTTTTTACAATAGAGTCAAAAATTTTTAATGCTATTAAAAGAAGGCTGCATATTTAATGAACTATTTAAGTTTGGCAATAAAGTATCATTTCCTTCCACATAATAACACACACAAAAGACTATTATAAAAGAACTCACCATTCACATTATCAGGCAATTAATCAAAAGGAATCCAGAGAAAGGAAAAGAAAGAGCAGTTCAGATATTAGACTTAGTTCAATTCAGGCTAGCATATTTAATGTATAAATATTTCATATCTATATATATTAAGACAATAGACTACTGAGTATATGTAACTTCTGTACATGTATCTATTGGCTTAGTCAATTTAGAAAATGAAAACTGGGAAACATGAAAGAATATTTATAAGCAATAGTTTTACAGAACGGGCAAGAGAATAACAAGAATCATAATCTCTATTTAAAACAAATAAGTTTTCAAAAATAGAGAAGATTTAGAAGTAAATATTTATAAATGGCAATATTATTATTTCTCTGAGCTGAACCAAAGGAACTTTGTGAGAAAGGCCAGTATCACTGAGCATGGCATGAAGCATACAAAAGTTTTATGAGACACAGGATAAAAGAACAATTTGCAAAGTAAAAGAAGATGTGTACATGATGAACAGTCTTTGAAGAATTTCAGTTGCTACAATGAAGAGGATGGATGCAAACTCTGAAAGTGATATATGTTCTTATTTCTATTCTTGAGGTACTTTGAGTTGCTGTATAGCTTTAGAATGTTAATAACACTGAGTCAGAGGCCCCTTAAAAACTCAAACAATACTTAAATATATAAAATAGCAGTCAAATACGAGTGAAGAAAGTAGCGTGTAGATAATAATAGCAATTAAGAAATAATAATGAGGCTGAGAATTATGATTAAATCCATACCTTACACTCCTTTGCACAATTCTAAGTGTCCTTTTCAAGGCAACAAAATTGAAGTAAGAAAATTTTAACTAAGCCCTAATAGGGATAATGTACTGGACTGTAAAGTTGGTTTGAACCACAAAGTCGATGATTCAAACTCACGGGTTGTTCCTTGGAATCACTATGCAGAATTGCTATGAGTTAGAACCGACTCCAAGACACTTAAACAACAAATAGTGCCATGCTCATAGCAAATGCTCATAAATAATTGATTCATTTATTTATCGAACAAGTATTTGTTACAGTGGGTCCTGAATAAGTGCTGGGAACACAAAGCCAAATGAAACAGGATTCCTTATCAGGACAACTATGGCTTATTCAATCATATTTATAAGCAAAAAAAATCATATGAAAAGTGAGGCAGATATACAAGGGAAATGTATGGGGGGTAAAGCAAGCCATACATATAGAGACCCATTGACTGATGACTAAATGACTATGTATTTCAGGCATATAGACCCCTAAACTTAGCAAAACAGCTATCTTTCATTTAATCATTTGTATTCACTATGGTGTGGCACAGCAGTTTGGAACTACCAACCGCTCTGTGGGAGAAAGATGAGGCTTTCTGCTCCAGTAAAGATTTATAGCCTCAGAAACCTTGTACAGTGCCGCTATGGTTTAGAACCGACTTGACGGCACTTAACAACAACAACATGGTGTGGCACTGTGGGTTAATGCACCAGACTGCAAAGCCGTTTTAACTGCAAAGTCGGTGGTTCAAGCTCACCAGATCCTCCTTGGAAACCCTACACAGGGTCACTATGGGTTGGAATCGAAAACAACGGCACTTAACAACAACAACATTCACTATGAAGTCCTGCTGTGAGATATTGCAGGATAAGCAATGGACTCTAACCACAAAGTCAGCAGTTCAAACCCACCAGTGGCTTCTTGGAAACTCTATACAAAGGTAGCTATGAGTCAGAACCAACTCAAGTGCACATACAATAACAGGGTAGAAGGAAGTATGAGGATATAAAAGGATGATAAAAACAAAATTCTAAAACAGTTTCTTAAAAAACAAAACATCTAAAAGCTTAATTAAGAGGGCAATTCTTTTGTAATGCTATGACAGATCTAAGTCTACCTTGGCCTTCCCTTCAAGTGCTCCAGTTCCTGCATATATCTTACTGATCGAGTCACCATTCACAGACCACATTGACCGAAAGACTTCTTGAAAGCGGGTCACCAACTGAGGCTTTTCAGCTAAGCCAAGAGCTTCCAACTGCTTAGCTAGCATCTGAAACAGGAAAATAGAAACTTTTATAAGCATACTAATATGGTAATTGTGATGTGGCTCTTCGGACAAGAATCAAATGCAAAATTTCTGTTTATAGGTCTATGTGAGCCTGAATTCTGAAAACAACTATTTACTAGGTTAACTTTATTTCCCACCACTTCAAGTTTCAAAGAAAACATCACAACTAAACTTACAAGTTCAACTTAATGCTCACTCGTATTACAAGAACGTCTGCTTAAATGATAAGGCTAACCTTCTAAAATATCCTTGCAAGTATTAATCTACAAATCAAACTACTTTACCTTGCTAACCTAAAAGAACTAATTATTCAACATTATGCATTACAGCATACAAAGTATGCATTGTTGTTGTAATTAAGTGCCATTGAGTCAATTCAAACCCATAGCGACCCTGTATAGGGTTTCTGAGGAACAGCTGGTGAGCTTGAACCACCAACCTTAGAGCAGAAAAAATACCAAGTTTATCTAATTATATATGTGAATATGAAAGTTTCTTTAAACTTTTTTCCCAAGTAACTCTAAGTTTATTTAATTTTTGAATTTGGTCCTCTAAATTTTGGTCATTAAGGTCAGGGGTTTTATTGAAAAAGAGCTGCTCTTGAACTGCCACAAAATTAAGATCAGTTACATCTGTGAATGAAGCCAGACAGTTTTTAATATATAAAGTCTGTACTGGTAATGTCCTGGTGTGGTGCTGTGGGTTAACGCACTGGACTGCAAAGTCGATAAGTTCACCAGCTACTCCTTGGAAACCCTATACAGGGTCGCTATGGGTCAGAACCAACTCGACAGCACTAACAACATACTGGTATTGTGTACAAAGGAGAACTAGAGGGAACATGGAGTCATGGTGTGGCACTGTACGATAAGCACTGGACTGTTAACCACAAGGTTGGCAGTTCATGCCCACCAACTGCTCCTTGGAAATCCTATGCAGGATCGCTATGACTTGGAACCGACTTGACAGCACTTAACAACGGGAACACAGCACACAAGGAATGCAACAAACTCGGCCACCAACATCCCTACATCACAGATAACAAGAAAAATGTTTAAATAAGTAAAATAAGTAATTAGTCTGTATTCTGAATATATCATATCCTTGAAATCTGGAAGTCAAAACAGTATATAATCCTGAACCGTTTTGCTTCTTCTGTTTAGAATCTTTAAATATAGGCTGTGAATCTTTATAGTAGCAGACTGCCACATCTTTCGCCTGTGGAGCAACTGGTGGGTTCAAATCACTGACCTTTTCGTTAGCAGCTAAGCACATACAGTATTTACAGAGGGATCAAAAGTTAAAATAACATAAAAACTCTAAATGGCATTCATTTTATTACCAGGTATTGGCATCAGATGTAATTTATTTGTTAGCACAGAGAATAAAACCCTTAGGACATTGCTTACCATTTGTATCTCCCTCTCTAAAAAAAACTTCAAGGAATTGAACAAAACTGATCTTATTTCACTATTAGCTTGGTTTGGCTATCTAACAGGAAATGTTGTATCCAGTTAACTAATTGCTCTATATGAGAGGATTCTCACACCTAAATACCAACAATGGATAGACAGCTAAGTCAGATTCTGAAAACTGAAAGGTATTATACTTTCAATGAAGATTTTCATGTATTTCAATAAGCATTTTCTTTCAAATTCAATGTAGATGCTCTCAACCACTTAAAAATAAAACTGGAAACTCAAGGCTTCTGATCAATTCCATCCAAATAACCAACATTCCTGCTTTCACTTTCCTTGTCCCTGTTGTGTTTTCTACATCAATCACATGATAAACTTCAATGAAAGATTCCAAAAAAGTCAAAGTAGTAGAATTTATTTATTTATGTGAAAAATGTAGGTCTATTGCAGAGCTCTCTGTAAACTGTAATTTCATTTTTGACATAAAAAGAACCTGAGCCCCAGGGTAAATAATTAACTGATATCCTGGCCAACTTTAAGATCATTAACTAGAGGAAATAAAAACCAAACCCACTCAACTCACAGAGGCAATACAAGCATGTCATTTCATATTCCTGTTTTATTTGTTAATGGTATTTTGAGAACTATGTTAAGTTCCTAGGGAAGTAAATGAAGCTCTGCACAGCCCTGACTTTAATTGTTGCACAACAGGAAAGACTTAGCTAGCTCAGCAGGGCTACATAGTTTGACAAAATTGAGACTAATATATTCCCGCCAAGGTCAGCAGTTCGAAACTACCAGCGATTCCACGGGAGAAAGATGAGGCGGTCTGCTCCCGTAAAGATTTACAGCCTCGGAAACCCTGTGTAGGGTCGCTATGAGTCAGAACCGACTCCACGGCACATCACAACAACAACATATTACACTGAATCGGAGGATAGGTGGCAAAGAAAAGAACTTTTAAACAAAAGACCATCTTAGAAAAGTTAATCTCATTCACTTTCATTATCACTAACAAAGGCATTTTAATTTGATTCTGTGTTTTGTAGGGACTGATTTGAAAACTCCATATAAACCACATTGGGTAACAGACTTTGTGAAAATGTAATCTTGCAGGATTATACATGTGAAAACAGACCCTTCCCAATTTCTAAAATAGACTTCAAAAAACAACAACATAGAAAATGAGGCCCTCCCCACCCCCCAGACATTCTTTTTTCAAAAGACAGTAACGAATAATGAATATAAGAACCTACTTAGTCACCTAAATAAGAACAGGTAAAGGAAACATTTAAATCAAAGGGGTTGAGGGTAAGGGAAAAAGACTAGAAAAGACATAAAGAAAACCTATAATAAAGCAAAACTTCATTGCTATTTTGCAAAAATCAAACTAACAAGAAGCCGAAATATTTGACTACAAAAACATTGAAAGATGTCACTGAGTTGTACATGTAGAAATTGTTGAGAGGACATATTTTGCTATGTATATTTCCACCACAACTTTTTTAAAGGCTCTGAGAAGGCATATGATACAAGTCTCATATATACATTTTACTTTATTTTTTTACCTCTAAGCCTAGGAATGCCTGCACACTGTTTGTTCTATCAAGACAATCCAAGCAATTTGTTCGAACTGTACCACTCTGGCATCTGTAACAAATTCAATATACTTTAATAGCTGATTTGGAACAAAAACAACGAAATTAAAATAAACTGTGAAAAATTAAGCCGATTAAAATGTAGCATCCACTCCAACTTTTTATTATTAGAAATTTTAAGCACAAAAAACTTGAAACAAGTTTACAGTGACTCTTCACATATTCCATAGATTCTACAATGCTAACTTTTTGCCGTGTATTATTTGCCATATGTCTATCTATCCAGCCATCTGCCTTATTCTCAAATAGGCTAGTAATTAGAAGCCTAATATACATTCAGGTTCATATTTCCCAAGTTCTCTGCATATAAAAGATAATAAAATATTTATGGAATTAATTTAAAAGCCTAAGATTTGTCATCTTTAATAGAAAAATTATAAAATGTGAGCATTGCTCACTAAAGTTTACCTCAAACTATATACTGAACTCACACCTTTTAACATTTTTTAAAATTTCATATTTCAAACCTGAATATTGGAAGGAGACATTATAGCAATGTCTTTTACTTCTGTTTGCAAGCTAAAATCTTTACTGAGGTCAAGAAATATTAAAACATTAGTTTTGAGAGAGAAATAGCATAGATTCATAGATATCACTGTGAGGTATGGAGCTAGATGAATCCTAGCTCTAACACTTCCTATTTATGTGATTTGGGGCAGATTATGGTCTATGCCTCAAGTTCCTGAAATGTTAACAGTGGATAATAATAGAACTTATCCCTACAATTGTTTCTGAAATAGGTGGAGTACCAAGCATAATATACAACGTGCTCAATAATGTAAACTGCTATTATTAATTTTTGTGGAATTCTAAAGGAAACCACGAAAAAAATATAAAGATATATTATTTATTATAATTGATTTAAAAAAGAAATTTAAGACTACAATGCTGAGAATAATCATGAATTTATAGTAAAAGCTCAATTTAAAGAAGAGAGAAAAAGAGCGAACCTCTGAACTTCACTTCCATTGAAATAAAAAAATCCATAATCTACAAATTTTTGGACTTGAGGTTTAAGAATACTATGTAATTTCTCTGCCTTTCCTCCTTTAACCATTTGATGATAGTCAAAATTCACCATCTGGATATCGGTGGCATGTTCAGAAGCTTTCAAATGACTCTGAAAATAAAAGGCAAATATTTACCTAAATGTTAACTACATATGATTTAACAATATTGGTCAATAAATGGAACCTACTTTTTAAATTAAAACCTCAGCATGGTCTCTTGCAATCTTACCAACTCTTAGAAGAAAGCTTTCATTGACACTCAGAAAAATGGAAAATTACCTGAGACTTAAAAGCATTTCCCCCCTAAAACCTCATATTCTATCCCTGACAGATTAGGTGACATGGTTAAAATCTGAGAACTTTAATAATATTCTGATCAGGTCAGCAGCATTACATTTTTTTACAAGGCAAATTTAAAGTAGTAGTCATTTTTATACTTTCTTCCAATAATACAGTTTTAAAGTTTTATATAAAAAGATATTCTTCAAGTATCACTTGTTTACTAATATTTACTCACAAGTTACAAATGAAATAGCAACACTATTAGTTACTTCTGAATTCTATTAAGTAAATTGAACTTTAAAAAATGTGTTTTCCAACAATTTTATTTAATTATGTTTATTTAATTTTATCTAACAACATTAATGATATAATTTTATTATTGATTCAATAAGTATTTATGGAGAATGTTTTGTCCTTAGAAGTCAGATATTCCCTCAGGTTCTTTTTTATTTGAAGTTCTCTCATCAATTCTTATCAATTTATTTGTAAGAGAGAAGACATGTTCTTGGCATATAAACAAATGTATTAGTCACCATTTCATATATTTAAAACAATGACAATGACTTCTAGGAAGTGAGCAGAGCAATGAACAGATGAAGGAGGAAACTGCCTGATATTTTTCTACTAATGACAGATGAACATTCTAGAGGGGAGAGATATTCTACTTCTTCTTAACATAAACAACAGATTATTGGATGGCACCAATTGCTTTGAAACCGTTCTATATCCCAATTTCAGCAGTATGAATCTAAACTATTTCCCAAAGAGCTAAAGAACGTTCCAACAAGTACTTAACTTTTTCATTATTTTAAAAAATATCATTACTTTGTCTATGGGCCAAAACAGAAGAAAATTTATCATACTTACCTGGAAAGCCTTACTTAGCATGTGTTCACCTTCCTTAGACCCAAGCAAATTTACTATTATTTGTTTGCCATACAAATTCTTAAGTGTTCTAAAATGCCTATTAACGAAATAAAAGAAAACAATCATATTTCAAATGATAAGCCTAAGGGTTTTGTTCCCTCCCTCCCCCCAACAATCAGCAAGAATCCATTACTCAAGAACACCCACACTTGCGGATAATACCCACTTGACCTGGCTTCAATGACTGGATGATCAGAGCTCAATTAGAAGAAGAAAGAAGAGGAAAAAAGAGCAATCTGATACAGTTTGATGAACTTGACCTACACCTATGGATGCAGTAGCTCAAAAGAGGGAATAAATCTTTATAGCAAGGTTCATTCCCACCCCCTCCATACACAGAGTAGACAAGGATGGGCAACTTGGACATTGGCTACCCAAAATGGGGGGGCTACAAAGGCAAGAAGTGACTGGCTTACAAGCTTTCAAGAGGGAACCTAGATCCAGAGGGCATGGAGGAAGGTAGACTCTCCACTGAGTAGTATCCAATCTGTCTAGGCAGGACTGATGAAAGGAAATACAGATACGTCTTTTTTGATACAAGAGTGAATAATTGTTATCAGGACTGATTGTGAGGGTTGTAAATGTAAAGGCAGAGGTTTTGTAGCAAGGAGGGGAGTGATTAACTTTGCAGTCTAGGAGTGGAGATCCCTGGGACTATGAAGGGAGAAGAACAGAGAGCAGGACTCTACCCAGAGAAGCAGTGATGCCTGAGATGGAGGCAGAGACGACAACCGTGGAGAGATGGAGCAGCTGGGGACTTTAGACACACAGAGAGGGAGAGGGGCTGTGTGCTGATGCGGGGGGTGGGGGGGTAGAGCAGGCAGCGGCAGGCTTGTAGGATATACCCTTTGGTTGGCTGACGATGCATGGAGGGGATTGTAACCATGGCAATGAAACAACAGACGATAGGATGAAAGTAAAACTAATGTTCTCCCATGTAAACGATCACATAATTCACAATAAAACATTTAAAAAAGAATGCATTACTCAACAGAATCTACATGGCAGTATTTTAAACTTACAGAGCTGGCAAAACTAGATACAAATTCATTTTATATCGTCTCGAAATTCTGAATTTATAGAAACTTACAGTTACGTTTTTGCTTCTGAAATACAGACACTAACACTGGTTTCTTTCCACTATATCGAATGACATCAATCAACTCCCAACTACCCTGGAGCTATCTGAGTCAGCCAACTTCCTCTCCAATCTGTGAAGCTGGCACTTGACTAGCTGAAAGAACACAAGCCATCTAGCTTGGATAAGGAGGCAGCAAAAAGAGAGGCCCAGGGCTGTACCTCTTACATGTGGACATCACATACTCTGAGTATTCATTCATGTTGTTGTTGTTGTTGCTAAGTGTTATCGAGTCAGTTCTGACATATAATGACCCTGTACAGCATGTCTAAGGGGCAGCTGGTAAGTTTGAATGGCCAGCCTTGTAGTTAGGTGTCAAGTCCTTCTTCTATAGTGCTATACCAGAAGGACCTCCCTAATAAGCTCTAGCCTTAAGAAATTAGGCCCAGAATATGGTCTGTTTTCTTTCCAGCTTGTAACCGTTCCAGAAGCTATAGAATAATATTGTCCAAGGGATATAAAAGGTGAATCACATGTGCAATTTTATAATACCTAGATGGCATATTTCAAAAAATTTAAAGACATGGTCAAAAATTTTAATTTTAATACATTTTATTTAACCCAAATACTTCTAGAATATAATTTCAACATGTAATTATTATAAAACCAGTATTAATGAGTATTAATTAAGGAGGTCTGGTAGAGTAGTGGTTATGAATCAGGCTGAGAACCACAAGGTCAGCAGTTCGAAACTACCAGCTGCTTTGCGGGATAAAGATGAGGCTTTCTGTCCCCATAAAGATTTACAGCCTTGGAAACCCTGTACAGGGTCGCTGTGAGTCAGAATCGACTCCACAGCACATAACAACAACAACAATGAGTATTAATGAGAGATTTATTTATTTTGGGGGATACTAGGTCTTTGAAATTTGGTAAGTATTTCACACTGACAGTATATCTGTTGGTCTTGTCACATTTCAAGTACTTGATAACTACATGTGGTTAACATACTGAACAACACACCCATAAAGACCCACACACCCAGTGGTAGAAGTTACAACACTAGATGTCACTGTTTTCTAGTTAAATTAGAAGAAATTTTATTTATAGCCAAAAAAGTTGAAACAGTAACTATAACTAGTCTCATTGCTTAACGATATAAAAACTTACAGCACTATATAAATATAATCAATCTTACCTGTCAAAAGCAGGAGCATTGGCTTCAAATCCCCTTGACATACGGACACGATGGGATCCCACCTTGGACAAGAATAATATATTTAATAATACGAAAAACAAACATTTAGATGAAAGGTAGATTTTTTTTTTTTTAAAGTTTTTATTGTGAATTGAGTGATAGTTTACTTGGGAGAACATAAGCTTTACATTCAACCTATCGTACTTTGTTTCATTGTAATGATTATAATCTCCTCCATGCATCATCAAACAACCAAAGGGTACACTCTGCAAGCCTGGCCCCCTCTCCCTCCCTGAGTTCAGAGTCCCCAGGCGCTCCATCTCTCTATGTCTAGCAGAGTTTGCTTTATATATCTTGGGGCTCTTTCATTGGGAGCATAGATATTTATTATGGTTATGTCATCTTGCTCAATTGACCCTTCAATCATTAGATAGTATCCTTCTTTATTTCTTATGCTGGTTTTTGCCTTAAAGTTTATTTTATTACAGATTAGTATTGCCACTCCTGCTTTTTTTATTGCAGCTAGATTAGTATATTTTTTCCATTCTTAAACTTTTAGTCTGTTTTTGTCTCTGTATATAAGGTGTGTCTCTTGCAGGCAGCATATTGAAGGGTTTTGTTTTCTTATTCTGTCTGACACTCTCTGTGTCTTTACTGGTGCATTAAAGCCATTGACATTCAGTGTAATTATCCATAGGTATGAATTAATTGCTGTCATTATGTTAATTTTTTGTGGTGCTGTTCAATCCTTTGTTCTGCATGCTTTCTTCTGCTGAGTACTTGGATTTTTTGTGCTATTTCTTGTCAGTTTCTTCTTTGTGTCAGAATGTTTCTTTGTTCTAATTGGATCTTCATTTTCACAGTAAATTGTGAAGTATTAAGCTTCTTTGAGGTTACCCTATAGTCTATTAATTTTTCCCTCCATTTAAGACAGTCTATTGTATCCTGCAATCTACCTGACCTCCTCACCACCTGGATCTCTGTTCCATATTTTTCCATTCTTTGACACTGTTATTATTTTGATTGACCTCACGGGTCCTCTGAATTGGTTTTATACAAGCAGATTATTTTTAACCATATGTAATCTTTCATTTGCTGAGCACACAGTAAATAACTGATTTTCATTTACATAACCTCTTTAAGTTTTAAAAGTTCTCTCCCTTTTATTTTTGAAGCAACCCAAGTAAAAACAACTGTATGTTACTACATGATGAAACACATATAAATTAACAGAAATTTTTATTTATAAAACATATTTTTAAGAATGTTTCATATAATTATCTTGTTTTAAACTCAAATTACATGCCCTATGTACATTAAGAGACATTATCTCACTATTTGGGCAATTAAAACTGAAATACTGACAGTGATTGTTCCTAACCATCCTGCTACCTAACAACTCTAACAGCCGATGTACTTGTTAGACAAGATTAGATTTTATTACTCCATTTTAATTAAAGAGCTGCTGGGTCAACAGTGATAAAGGTAGCATTCCAGAAAGTTTAAAGATTTCAAATCATCATAAATTTATATCATTTAAAAAACTTATACTAAATTAAAAACAAAAAATTAACTGAGTGGTATATCATTTTCCATCAATATTGTTTCATGTTCATGTACTTCTGAAACTTTAATTCAGCCCCAAACTGGGAACTCAGCACTATGCTAGGCAGAGACCTCATCATGGTGCATATCACCTTGTATGATTTACTAGTATCAATAAGAGTTCATCTGAGGCATTAAAAAGTCTTGGTATGACTACTGTAAAAGACTGAAAAAAAAAGAACCCATACTAAAGGGGAGTGGGGGCATTCTTTGCTGATTGCTGGGATGTAGGGGGTGAGGGGAGGGGAGGGACAGAAAGGTAGAGCACAGGGCAGGGAATAGACACAGGTTAGTTATGGTGCTCGGGAGGGGGACAATACACAAAAGGGGATCGGAGAATGGAAGAACAAAGCAGAGGGGAGAACAAATAGGTAGGTTCACATGGGCTAAGTGGGACAGAGGTAAAAAATAATGTATACACAACCTTGGAACAACAGGGCGAGGGGGTACACGGAGTGAGATATGGTTGGAAAAGGAAAAAAGCAGGAAATAATGTTAAGATGCTTGGCGGTCTACTGAATCTTGGTATTCCTTGCATTACATTGTAAAATAGACACTGGAAGGGTAGAGAGAGGAAAAGCCAGAAATATCACCATAGAAAGCTTGTAAGTCTGTCTTCTGTCTATAACTGATTGGAATACCTAAAATGGGGATACGATGTGCCCAGTGAAGGAGGCTGCCTGCGGAGCCTCTGCATTACGTAAGACTATAGGTGGAATCCTGAACAGCAGCCAGAATCTCCAGAGGTGGGAAATTTCCCCGAGAGGATGGGCAGACCAGCCTGGAGCAGCTAGAAGAACAGAAAATATTTCTTGAAAGAAAGACTGACAGGAAAAACACAAAACAGACTGACCAATGACTACAAGCAAGATGCCCACACAGGAGAGAGACATCAAGGCAAGGGGTCGGGCCCTCTCAGAGTAAACCCCCTTCCAAGACTAAGACTCAATGGGAATACACGCTCTGATAGGTCACCGCGTTCGCCACCGACAAGAGAAAGAGAGAGAAAAACAGCTATAAGGCTGAGAGCTAAGCCCTACAATGGTCAATAGACTCCTGTGAACCCAGGTGGAGACCTGGTTGGCCAGCAGTGTGGCAAGACCTGGGGACTCCTGGGCCCAGAGTCAGTGACAGATCCATGGAGGACTAGAGTGGAGGGTGAAGTGTCCAGCGGATAAGAAGAGAGGGCATATCCACAAGAGCACCCACACATGCAGATAATACCCATTTGACCCAGCCTCAATGACTGGGTGATCAGAGCTCAACTAGAAGAGGAAAGGGGGTGGTGGTGGTGGTGGTGGTGGTGGAAGAGTAACCTGATACAATTTGATGAACTTGACCTACACCTATGAATGCAGTAGCTCAAAAGAGGGAACAAATCTTTGCAGCAGGGATCATTCCCACCCCCTCCATACACAGAGTAGACAGGGATGGGCAACTTGGACATTGACTATCCAAAATGGGGGGGGCTACAAAGGCAAGAAGTGACTGACTTACAAGCTTTCTAGAGGGAACATAGATCCAGAGGGCGTGGAGGAAGGTAGAATCTCCACTGAGTAGTATCCAATCTGTCTAGGCAGGACTGATGAAAGGAAATGCAGATAGGTCTCTTATGAGAGGTCCCTGAAACCATGAAGGGAGAAGAGTGGAGAGCGGAACCCTACCCAGAAAGGCAGCAATCCCTGAGATGGAGGCAGAGGACTCAGGACCCAGGGAGGAAGAGGGGTTGTGTGCTGATGACTGGGGAGCAGGGGGCGGTGGGGAGCAGGCTTATAGGATGTACCCTTTTGTTGACTGGTGATGCGTGGAGGGGATTGTAACCATGGCAATGAAGCAATAAACGATGAGTGTAAAACTAATGTTCTTCCATGTAAAGTGTCATGTAATTCACAAACTCAAAAAAAAAAAAAAAACAAGAACAAAAAAGTCTCGGTATGGTGCTACAGTATAAGAACTCGACTGCTAACCACAAGGTTGGGAGTTCAAACCCACCACATGTTGCTTGGAAACCCTACACAATGTTGCTATGACTTGCCAGCACTAACAACAACCACCAACAGTATAAGCTAGTAGGAGCTTTCATGGTGCAACGGTTAACTACTTGGCTGCTAAGCAAAAGGTCAGCAGTTTGAACCCACTATCCACTACATGGTGATCTCCTTCTGTAAAGATTGATTATTGCTGCTGTTGTTAAGTGTTATCGAGTTGATTCTAACTCACAGTAACCCTGTATAGGGTTTCCGGGGAGTGCCTGGTGGATTTGAAGTGCCGACCTTGCAGTTCCAACCCAGCTCCTTCAGCACCACCCCAGGACTCCCCAGAGAAACTCTAAGGAGCAATTCCATCATATAGAATTGGTATGAGTCTAAATTGATTCAACAACAATATAAGCTACCTATAATGAAGTAATATACATGATTAGCCAGAACTTAAAACAGCATTCTTACCTGTGTAGTACACCTTATAATGACAACTTTTTAAATGCCTCAAATGAACTCATATTGATATTTAATTTTACCATAAAAGTCCTGACTCCTCAAATTGTAAGCTCTCTATGAAGCTTAAGTATAGGTTTAAAACGTTTGTGAACATCTAATATAAAATAGGAACGCCAGTGTGGCTTTGTAGGATAAGAACTGGACTGTTTAACTGCACAGTTGATGGTTCAAATCCATCAGTCACACTTTGGAAACGATTTACAGGGTCAATATGAGTTAGAATCAACTCAATGGCATGTAACAGACAATGAGTATAAAACATATTGTTGTTGTTGTTAAGTGCCGTCAAGTCGGTTCGACCCATAGCGACCCTGAACAGGGTTTCCAAGGCTGTAAATCTTTATGGAAGCAGAAAGAATTCAAATATTTAACAACGTAGAGATTACTGTGGGAAACTGAAAAGGAATTGGAATCCATGAGATCTAAGCTGGCTACAGAAGGCCAACAAATCTTAATTTAGGGAGTTAGAAATTAAGAAAACCATGAAAGTCTTCCAGCCAAAATAAATGATGAGGACTTCTACTGGAACCCAAACATACTGCTGAAGAGTTGATTCTGACTTGTAACAACCCTACAGGACACAGCAGAGCTGCCCCAGAGGGTGTCTGAGATTGTAAATCTTTATGGAAGCAGACTGCCTCATTTTTCTCCCATGGAGCGGTGGTGGGTTCAAACTGAAGACCTTTTAGTGACCAGCCCAACACTTAACCCACTGTGCCATCAGGGATCCTTATAACTGAGACAGTTGTTAAGTGCTGTCAAGTCAGTTCTGATTCATAGCAACTTTGTATAGGGTGGTTTCTGAGGAGCAGCTGATGGGTTTGAACTACTGACTTTGCCATTAGCAGTCCAGTGCTTAGGCTACAATGCCATACACCAAGGCTCCAACTGAGGCAGTAGTGGAAATGAAAAGGGAACAGTCCCACTGCCTAAGAGAATGCTGTGGCTAAGTGTCATAC